AGCTGTAACAGTGTCCTCGGAATGCTAAACTAGTACATAATTAGACATTTGCGTAGATATTAAACAACATTAGGTAGATTATTTAATTTGATCGTGTAGTTGCTTAAATTATCAGGAAAACGGTAGTGTATACAGAGTTGTAGGGCGCGGTGAACATTACCCATGGAGAGCGAGACGAGGGCGCAGCAGGAGCCGACGCGGGAGGCGGCGAGGTGGTCGCGCACGTAGCGGAAGTAGACGTGCTCCAGCAGCAGCAGCAGCGCCGCCAGCAGGATGCCCGCCATCAGCAGCAGGAACGCCGACAGGAACTGCTCCAGTGCCAGCGGGTCCGACGACTTGTGCTCCTGCTTGTTAGGCTTGCATGTACCCGTCATCCAATACCTGCCGTTTGAACACATGACTTATAGCTACCGCAGGTACAAACTAACCTCTTACTCTTTACAAACGACAAACGAAGCTATGCGCGCGAACAGCTCTTGTTTAGTGCTCTCATGTTTATCATATCATCAGTCGCGAGTTAAATATTGGTGGCGTATCGCGTCGTATAGAATCGCATGCCGTCGGATATTAAGTACAATTAAGAACTATATACTCAAAGACAATGAAAACACATAATAAGTACAGTGAACGTGTTACACGGATGCATGCACATGAGAAAACCCTATTAATCGTTCGATTTCCGAAAGCAAACGGTGAATGCTAAGCAAAACAACTAAGTATATAAGCTTCCCCAATTCGGCTACTTGGTATAAATTCCCACGCACATCGCGCCCCAATAGACATTAATGTGATTATAAGCTTGATTTAATCGGGAGTAACTCGCGGATTGAGCACATAAATACACGATCGATATCGAAAACGATAAAATGTAGCAACATAAATCTGGACAATGGTTGTGATGGTCACGCACAAACATTTATAATAACATAGTTTGATACCGACCTGCGTAATCTTTCAAGATCTCCGTTCGAACGTAAATCTAGCAATCTTTTGTTGAACATACTAAGATATTTAGAATTACGCGTGAACGCTAATCCATAGCCGGACATCGCATACCACGAACCTACTGTTAGAAGCCGGCAGTCTTCGTCCTATAAAATTATTGTATCAAATTAACTATCTCTAGGTATAATTAGAATATCAGTAGAGATCGCATAAATTTACTTACTTGTGATACTAAATAGTCGAGTACTGTGCCGTCATATATAAACGCATCGAGTTCTCCGGTGAGTACGCTCGTGACGCCAGCGCCTACCGTACTCCGGTTGAACCTCAAAAAAATACGATATACGTTAATTATTGGAATAATAGTCAAGTTAATAAATTAACTTAACAAATTGTTATTAAAACTATTGCAAGTTTAGAATTAACAATATTTCATGAGGGTGAAAATTACGAAAAGTTTTTTTTTCTCTCCCTTTTATCTCAACTAAATTAAGGGACTTGAACGACAATATGGTACACAGCAAGGAATTATAAAAAAAGCTTACTTAGATTTTTAATTAGAACGGAAATTAATCCGATTGTATAATATCAAAAGCATTTTAGTGATGGATAAAGCAAATTAGGTTAACTTACTGTGCCATATACGCGTGGGGTTCTGGAAAGTATTTAGCGAGAGTAGCGTCCGTGTGCGACCAGGGCACCGTGCCGAACTTAAGAGGTGGCCGCTGGGACAGAGGCCGCGCTATCCGCGGGTCGTCCAGCCCGCTCAGCTCGTGGAACTCCTCACGGGTGATCATGAATGCCGCCAAGTTGGCAGTGTATATGGCGAGGAACACCACCGCGAACATCGCCCACATGTTCGTCATGAACCGAGCCGTGAAACCTCGCGGAGAGTCCACATGGACAGACGCCTAGTAATACACGACAAATTCTTTAAACAAGTTCATACATAAATAATAAGCAATTCAAAGAAATACATAATAAAGCATATAGAAATGTTATTCATCGTCTCACCTGAAACAATACAGCCCACACAATCCAATACGTTCTGCAAAGTGAGAACCTGTTTTGAGGGATGCGTTTTGAATTATTCCCAGTCGAGCAATCGAACCCGCTCGGAGAGAGCCACTCGAAGAAGAATATAGAGAATGTGGCGGCCTGTATCGCGACGGCGCCCACCAACATCCAGGACGCCGTGTCAAAGGGTTCCAAGAAGGCCGTTGGCGATATTATACCGGTCCTTTTCGCCACAACGATCGCTACTCCCGTCTCCATAAAGGGTACGCTAAAGTCTACAACAGCCTCGCGGTCTGAATTTATGATTAATGATGTTAGAACCTGAAAAATGTTATTGACAGTGTCATTATTGTAATGAGATTTATAAGTGTATGTGTATATTTGGTACTAACCATGTCAGTTTTCTTATTGACAAGATCCGCGATGAGACCGTTCCATTTGCCATGGTGCAGCGTGCCCCAGCGGCCATCCTCCACCCGCACGAGCTCGTACGTGAAGCCGAGCTGCTCGGCCAGCTGCTGTAGCAGGTCGATGCAGAAGCCGCTGCAGCACTGATACAACGAGCTGTTTCTGTGTGCTGTCCCTGCTTCTATTCTGTATAACAAAATTAAGTAAAACAACATAAGGCTTGTAATCATTTCTATTACAGATGGTATGAACATTTTGATACCGATTTCCAAATAACATCCGAATAAGCATATATCAGATTTAGTTATATCTATATTATGTGGGCAAAAAATCTTAAAAATAAACAGAAAACAAAATGTGTACCCAAATTCCTCTTTTGCAAAACCCTGTAATCTGGCGAACGTGTTTATGGTACCAGTTAGTTTGTAATTATCGATTTTAAAATGAACTTACCCAGCAACGTCCACTTCGGGCGCAACACGGCATATCACCCCCCGGTCAAGAGAACATCGTCCGCTTACAGGGTCCGGCGGCGCAAGATTAATATATGGTGGTTCCTCCAAAAATGTTATCCTCATATGAAACTTCTCTGGTACGCCTTGTGGCGGAGTGTGTAGCCCGCCGGGCCATACGATATCTTTTATTATTAACCTTTCTCGTGGATAAGAATTCCATGTCCCAATTTCTTCCCACACCAACTGCAATTCAGGTTTAAATAAAATAACATTACATTTATCAATATGGCCTATTTATGTACATATGTTTTAGATTTACATACTCAGATTGTTAAAGAATAAACATTAAATAATACACGATAATTAAATTAGGGAGGACATGTTTATAACTGTAGTTACAGTAATTAATTGGATAAATAAACGTAAATGGCGGGCGTGCTCACGGTATTGCTTACAAAAATTAATACCTGTTCACCCATAGCCGGTCTAAGGTTCATGATTTTTAATTCAGCAGCCTTCAATTCCCCTTCTGGTGTGAATTCAATGT